AAAAAAAAGTTGGGTTATATGAGAGTCAGCCCCCTGCAGAGTCCCCTGCAGTCTTTCTCAGAATCAGCTGCTTACTGTGTGAGCAGTGAGTATAGCAGGGTAAATAATATTTACTGGCCCTATTTTAACAGCCAGCCTGGTCTAAACCCCCACCACCACCACCACCAAACAACAACAGCAAAAAAACAGGCATAACAATAAATATTAGAAGCAACTATTGGCAAGTGACGAGGCAACTTTGAATCATTTGACGTTTAAGTGGTGCTCTGTTTCTGTGGGATATAACATTTGTGAATATGCTGTAACAGATTTATTTAATAATGTAGTTAGTGACTGGTTCTGGGACACATGTAATAACCTTTTAAATACATATTAAAAAGTGTAATAGACTAATTGAATTTAGTATTAAGTGATCTGGTATCTAAGTCTTACACCACGATTACTTTCTAAATTTTTATTCATTAACCTTTTTATGCAGTACAAACTTTGACCTTTATTATTTTAATCTTTGATCATCTTAATAAGTTTGCTCCATAATTCTTTTGAATAATAAAAAAAAATTAGCATGGTGTGACATTACTTAATTATTAATTATTCATCTTTTTTTCTTTACTCAGGAGCTTCATTTTAAAATAAAAAGCCTTACATTTCATGAAGTCGGCCCTGGTGGTTGGTTCGGGGATATTGGGCTCATATGGTGGCAGTGTTACTGAAAAGAGCAGGAAAGAGTGGATAAATAATGACACATTGATTTAATTTAATGCATTAATATCCACATGCAAAGCCTTCACAACAGCGGGACTCCACGCTGGTTTTTACCTTCTGTAGCACTGCTTTTTCTCCCTGGAAAAGAAAACGAGAGCATCATTTCACTGCTGTCTACTACAGACACTGTATATGGAATTACAGCCTGTCCTCAGACATGATTTCTCACATGAGCTTATATGACAAAAAGCTGAAAGCTCGATGCCCAGGATGGCAGCGGCGGTTACTTTAAACCTTTTCATCTTCCTCTACAGGCTGCACCTTCTTCATAGTGTCTGCCAGCACTGCAGCTGCAGTTAATCACCTGCTGCTCTCAACACACTGTAGATCACACAGGGGTATGCGTGAAATGTCGGCTCAGCACTGATTCATGGAGTTCCCTCATGCTTTTCGAGGTTCTGGTTTCAACGTATGGGACTCCGCATACGTTTGCTGGGAACACCGTTCATGGCCACTGATGACAGGAAGCTGATTCTAAGAATAAACTTTCTGTGGGATGCTTTTCCTTCCCACCGCTGTGGGCGTGTTTATCGTGTCACAGGCTCTCCGTTTGTTCTTCGTCCAGTTTGTGAGTCACTGCGTCTTCTGACATTCAGAGAAAGCTGTGATCCCTCACCGGTCCGGCCATCAATCATGCCTCTGCGTATGTCAAGTTACCATCTCTCAGATTTCACACAGAAAACGATTCGATTATTTTATGATTCACGCTCATTTAACAGACTGTTACATCGCGGTATTTATCTTATTTGTGTCTAACAAAATAAGACAGAACAGGCTCGTTTTTCTGAAGTCCTATATGGAGGATATAACTGTGTTCAAAGCTATGAAAATTTAATGAGAAGAAGTCATAAAACATGCTTTCTTTCACTTTTAAAGAAAAAATCAAGACATTTTAATTAAACTAAACCTCACCCTACTTAAACTCTGCTCTCCCTCCCCTCATTTCTATACCATAAGAGGCTGTAACAGACTGAAATATAGTTTTATGGCAGTATTATGACCGAATCACTGATTGTCATTCATCTCCACTAAAATGATAGTAAAGATTTAAGGCTTGGCCATTTTGTGAGGACATGTAGATTAAGGGTTGATTGTTCAATTATAATTGTATAAGTCGTAGCTTTTAGTGATCTAGTACTTCCTGTAGAGCGGAAGCTTTGTATGGGTCAGTACATAAAAACTTAATTTGAAAGTTGTGCTTTTATTAAAGCTGTATAATATCTGTTGAATGGCCAGAATTACATTACTTTTACTTCGTTGTATACTTATTCAGTCCCAGTTGCAGGCTTCATAAAAAGTCTTGAATTAAAAATAATGTAAGAAAATAAAAGCATCCAGTGCAGGAGTATTTTTAACTTCAGTATTATGACGTAATTTGATTAGTTGATTTTAACTCCTTTAAATGTTTGTTGGGTGTTTTACGCAGCGACAGTGCATCCTGTTTTATAAAAATCCTCATATACCTGTAAGCTTTATTTGTTAAAGGTACTGTTTGTAGTTCCCGTCTGCCAATTTTAACTAAAGGTTTTACCAACAGGGGGCAGCGTTTCCCCACACCACCATTTGTTCTTTTGCCTGTTTAAATAAAGGTGATACTGACTTGCTGCATCCTCTTGTGGTACAAACTGCTATCATATGAAAGTACAGCTTGGCTGAGTTAACCTTCAGTCAGTTACTGTCTCTTAAACACAATACAAAGATGTTTTGAACATGAATTTGTGGTAATTTCTTCTTTAATAGCATTAGCTCATTTTGGAAGCCTAAACAGAGGAAGGACATAAACTTGACAGGATAAATCGAATAAATTCATGCTTTAGCTCGATACATGTTCACTTTGAGTTTATATATCTCCAGGTTTAGTTGATTTTTATATTTATTATTTTTTTAATCACTGTCCTTATGTTTTTCCTTTTTTTTCCTCTTTTGTTATATAGATTATTTAACCCTTTAAAGCTGGTCGGAGCAGGCATGCTCCGTTTTGCGTAACTATTTTTAAATCCCGGTAGAACCGGAACCACGTAAGCTAGCGTGATAATTTCTTTTTTATATGAAACCAGATGAGTTGTACTTAATCTTATGCCATCAGCTTGTCCTAGGTCACGTTTCCTTCCACATATAGCTTTGCAAAAATTGCATAAAAAGCGCTTGCAGGAACAAAAACATAATATTCCAGAAACACGCTTTGCCGATC